TTCAGACATCGCCGGAGCGGTTTTGGATGTCGAGGCGCTGGAGATCACACCACGCGGAAGTGGTGCCGAGGCCACTTCGTGAAGGATGTTTTTTGGTTCATTGGGAGGTGAAGGATGCGCGGTTTGCTGAATCGAAAAAGGTATGTAGAAGGTTGTGTTCAGAACAGAGAGAACCTATAAAGCACATAGGAAAAGAAGAAGTCTGCTTTGAACATGAATGATAATTGGGGGGCGGAGATGGGCGGAGGGAGTGGAATGCTGAGTCAAGGGCATGCAAGCCTGGCACAGCTAGTCACCAGCAACCCTACTAGCAAAAAGCATGCTTTGAGTTATTAGGAGCGATGGCCTCCAACCTAGAAGCGATGGCCTCCAACCTAGAAGCGATGGCCAACCCACTTGGAGCTCGAGAAGTCCGTAGACTTTGTTGTTTGCCTGTTTGACTCTCAAAATGTTGCCTGTCTACTGAAAATGAAACTGCGCAAATCACTAGAATTTCCACGGGAAATCAACATGTATCGAACAAAGTACCAACTCTACCCGCACAAGCCAATCAGAATCCCACAACACCTTAAATGCTTAAAGAATACCACATCCATCATCCAGGAAGGTGGTGGAATCAAAGTAAAAGAGAGTGCATCGTTGGTTTTGCCCCAAGATGATAAAAACTGTTCAAATCACTGAAAAGCCCCAGGCAGGGTCACTTCTACAATGTGATCAGCATAACTATGCGTAGCTTGTGCCATCTGTTCGCTTCGGTGTTTTTCAGTCGGTCTGAAAGATGCGGGCTTGCTTCGTTGTTAGGGGGTTCTTCATTGTTGTGAGGCCATCGCTAGTGGATCGCTAGTGGGTTGGAGGCCATGGCTTGTAGGGTAGAGGTGATCACTAGTAGGGGGAGGCCATTAAAGAGATTACTGCACTTCTTTATTAGAGGGTTTTTCGTTGTTTTTGTAGATTCGGGAGCTCTTCTGCTGCCAGACCGTCGATCCTCGCCTGAGCGGATCCGAAGACGGGATAGGAGGGCCAGTGGAGATGGAGACGACGAAGGGAATTCGGATCGAAAAGACGGGATGGAGTCGCGCAGCGACGGGGTTTAGGGTGTCACAAGAATGTGTTTGTTGTTCCGGAAGGTTGGTTATAAGGCCTGGGCTTGGCATGTCCTTTGAATTCAATAAGTCCGTCATATGCCACTTTCAGCACAGGGACCGAAGCATTTGGAGGACACACGAGACACCAGCCTGACATCTCACCACAGTTCGTGCCTTTGGCTCCCGCGCTATCGCACGACTCGCAGCCACCTTGGCTCCCATGGCGGAGAAAGAAGCCCGCGGTGGGGGGCTGACTCTGTGGCAACCTGAGCCCCTTGGATGGAACACATTTTCCGGTTTGAGTGGCTTTGGCAGAAACGGTTTCTATGAGAGACCGAGAAAGAAAGATGCAGTCCTTGGGACTTAGATGATAAATCGCTAGTAGTAACAAGTGCCTTACTAGTAGTAACAAGGTTCGCTACTAGTAACAAAGTGCATCGCTACTAGTAACAAGTGCATCGCTAGTAGTAACAAGTGCCTTACTAATTCAATACTCCTTGTCTTGTTCTTTATGTCTAATAGCAATGGCCTCCAACCTAGTAGCGTCCTTGCTACTACTAGCGATGGCCTCCACCCTACTAGCGATCGCCTCCAACAACCTAAGTTTGACGCAGTCCTTGGGACCTACTGTGGTCAACATCCTAAGAGGTCCCAGCAACTTGCAGCGAAACGGCCTTCATTTTGGGGGGCAATCACCCAAGCATGAACAAGACAACCATTTGGGTCTTTGCCCGCAGATCACCATTGTCCAGTGTTCGGGCGACTATTAAGGTTGGAGGCCATTGCATGTCCTGGGAATCAGCTTCACATGGAAGAACTCCCGATCTTCCCAGCCGGCCCATTGCTCCACAGCAGGAGCCGAATAGAACGTCACGATCCGCGGTTTTCCTCACAGATGTGGGGGGTGGTCGTTTTCCGTGAACAGAGCAGAGGTATTGTTCCATGTGAAGCTGATTCCAGGACATTCCCAACATAGTGGTTCCAGTATGTTCCAGTAGCAAGAAGCTACTAGGGGTTCCTGGCCTCGCTACTAGGAACAAAGGACGCTACTAGGAGCTAAGGTTCCAGTATGTTCCAGTTGTGCCCAACATGACCATTTGTTGATCCCAGACTCGATGAGCAGAGCAGAGCTGAGCGGTCCCCCAGTTTGCAGGTCTACTGCCCAACTCTGTTACATGTGTCTGGACCTCAGGACGGTTGGCGACAGAGTACAGGTTGGAGGCACCATCGCTAGTAGGTTGGAGGCCATTGCTTTCAGAAACAAAGAAAAGATACTTAAGTGTTTGCTCTGCCGCTCAGCCTTGTTCAGCGGCGGTTGGCAACCTGTTTGGTTGCATCCTCTGATGCTCTTGCATCACATGTGGCCTGTAGCCATGGTCCAAGTTACTGAAGTCTAAGTTACACAAGTCTAACCTCCAAAAAGGAAGAAAGGTCCAATATAGTTTGCTAGTAGGTTGGAGTCGGAGGCCATCGCCACTCTGTTTCTACATGTGGAATGTGGACCTCAGGACGGATGGGGACAGCAACCAGCGGATGGGGACAGAGTCGAACAGAGGTTTAGACATCCATGGCTGGTGACAACAAGGTGCTTGTAGTAGCGATGCCAGGAGCCCCTAGTAGCGTCCTTGCTCCTAATTTTAAGGCCAGGAGCCCCTAGTAGCTTTTTGTTACTACTAGCGTCCTTGTTACTATTAGTAAGGCACTTGTTACTAGAAGCGATGCACTTGTTCCTAGTAGCCACTGTTTGCTTGAGTTTGACCAACATGTCTTTTTTTGTGGGATGATGTTCAAGACCCAAGCCGCCTTAGCCCCAAACCCAAACTGAGAGGTAGCCATGCTCTTTCTTATTCTTGTTAAAGAGCAATGCTTTATACTTAAGATCATGAAAGAGAAAAAATGAAGGGACAACGAAAGAAGACAAAGGAAAGAAAGGAAGAAAAAGAGGATCGGTCTGAAAAGCTGATGAAGGGTGTAGACCAACCAAAAACTGCAACCAAGCAGAGCTAGCGCGCCTCAAGACCAAGGGCAGACCGTGGTTTATTGGATCAAAATGGATTATTTCGACCACTGAATCTACATCTACACAACGTTTTCACGTTGGAGCAAGAAGCTACTTGGAGCAAAGGGCATCGCTACTAGGAGCAAGGACGCCACTAGGGGCTCCTGGCCTTACTACTAGGAGCAATGTTCGCTACGACCGGAGCAAAGGGCACGATGGACCCACTCCAGGCTTTCGCCAAAAGCACCGACCCGCAGCGCCTGTCCGGACGTCCGACTCTGTCCCCGCAGGTGATGAGATACCTTCCATCGCTGCTTGCGAGTGCGACGTGGGAAACGAAACCGGCCGCGACAGCCTCGAGGTCCAAAAGTTATCTTTTGATGCCATGCTCATGTGAACAAACTGGACGTCGCAGTCCTGCTTGGTACGGAAAGAATGCGGCTCACTGAAGTCCGCAAACTGGTCGGCTATGCTCGGGCTGATTGAAACTGAACTGACCAAAAGAGACAAATTGAAGCCGTTTTTGACTGCTTTTCAGGATGTTGCATGCATCTTGCCATCGGTTTTGCGATGTTTATGCGAATCAAAGTATCAAGATGGTATTGAGATAAGGAGACGGCAATGTAGTTTATGTTCATCCAAGATCGCGGCAGCCAATCTGGCCCAAAACAGTTCCACCGTCCAAAGCATGATGATCCCACCGTGCCAGGTGGTACTGCCATGCTCTCACATGAAGGTCCCGGCTCAATTGGCTCAGCGCTTTGTTCTGAGCAGAGGAGCAGTCTCGTATATGCCATCAATGACAACAACAGCCAGGCCATGGCAGAGCAGTGGTGGGGCGCAGCATGTGAGGGTGCAGCATGTGAGGGCGCAGCATGTGGCAATGACAACTCAACAGTTTGCAAAGCCACGAGTTGTTCAGGTGCATGCGAATGCACCCTTTGCAACACGCCCAGCGCAGCAAATTCAGGGATTTGGACAGACTGCCATGGTCAATGTGGCGAGCATGACCCATGCAGGAAAGTCAGGTGTTGAGGTTCTCGAACCTTGTGACTTTGCTGCAGCCAAACCTGCAGAAGACTTGGAGGACCTTCATTTGAAGCCAGTTGAGCTAGAAGACATGTATATTGTATAAGAAAAGTCTTCAAGGCAGCTTGGGGTGGGTTGTTTCTTTTCGGCCCAAGATGCCTAAGGTGAGGTTGCAGCGCTCCTTCAAGCCGGGAGATGCTTACTGGTGGACCTGCGCGATGGTGATCGTAACGTGGGAACTATCCGTGGTGCCATTAATGTCCCGGCCATCAAGCGGACCAACGACACAGTGA